AAGCCACGGAATCGGCGGTAAATGCTCAAGCGCTCGAGGTAAGCAAAAAGAAAAACAAAGGGCGTCTCGCGAAGCGCTTAAAGAAAAAAAAAAAAAAGCTCGGACCCCTCGTTCTTAACGAAGAGGAGAGGAAAGAGAAAACGCTGGGGCGATGAACAAAACGAAGCAAAGAAAGAAGAAAACCCATGTCTCGTTGTAGCCGCACGCTCGTCTTGATCATGCTTGTTCGTGTTTTTTTTTTATTGCTCGTTACGGAAGCATGACAGAAAGCGTGCTTGTTTTACTGGTTTAGCGTGCTTCGTTTAGCGTTTCTTTTTGCCCGGGCTCGCCTCTTTTTTCATCTTAGGGCAAGCTGCGAGAGCTTCGCGGCATTTGACCGGTCGTTAGCATGACCCGAAAATTTTTCCGCACCCCCTGCTAGCGCGTCCTTTCAACATTGGAGGAATCGCCTCCCCCATTCGGTAGCATGTGTTCTCGCGGGAAAGGTTGCGTCATTTCTTGTGCATCGCAGTGAAAACCCGAGCGACTGTGCAACGGGCAGTACTGCTGTCGAAGGGGAAAAAAAAAAGAGCCGGGCGCTCTTGATGCGGCGGCCTCGAACTTGAAAAAAAGCTGGGTCACGGTCGCGCGTAACCCAGATAAATGTCCGATGCGTGTAATACAGTACTATGTTATTCCTGTATCCGTCTGGCGTGTCGTCGCCGTGAGCGGAATTTCGTGCGCGCCACTCTCGAAAGGGGATTAATTGAAGACGTTACGTTCGCACGGACACGAGCTTAGCACGTATAACTGCGCAAGCGTACTCTTCTTTTCTCTCCTTTTAGTTTGTTTCCGCAAAAACCTGGCTGTGCAGCCGGCGGTTCTTGCCATCCGCTCAGCTTCTCGTTGAAAAGTCTCCTTACGCACCGGCCGCAAATTGTTCGCTCGGATTTTTTTGCAGACGCATGACTGTAAGGGAGGGGCACGCTGCTTTTTGAGCCTGCGTATGCCCCGTGTTTTTTTTTTTTTTTGTTTTACATTTCTTACTTCGAGCACGTCAGGGGCCTTTGTCTTTTTAGGTCATCTTGGAGGATAAACGCGGAGAAAATGCGCACCGCGCGAAGGGTCTCACGATCGCGCCTTGCCTCGCGCGAATATGTTATACAGTCATGTTGTGGTTTTTGCAAGTGCGGACGGCGTCGTGACGTGATTTTCTCTCATTAATCACCGGCTGTTCTAAAAATAAGTACGTACTGACGTCACGTTTCCTATACGTCCTTTATTTTGGCGTTCGACTCTTATAATGTGCCGATTTCTCAATTACTTAGTTTACCTAATGGCTTTCGCCATTTCAACAACCTGTTTCTTTGCGACTGCACGGTCGAGCCATGCTGTCGAAGAAATTCCTGTTGCTGCGTTTTTGTTTGCCGTGTTTCGTTTGCACAGAAGCACGCCATTGCAGTCTTTGCAGCTGCTGATGATTGTGCGTAGTATTCCAGAGTTCTCGCGATTTTTCAAAAACTCAAGTTAGGTTAAATGTTGGTAAGCAGTTGCATGCTCTACAGATATAATTGGAATGGGTATCAACTGCCCACAAAGTGCGAGCAAGCGTACAACATATTGCTCATAAACCGACTGGAGCGTAGACATACATTTCTTGGACTAGTTCAGAGCAGTTTGTTACATATTGACTAGGGCACCAGAGTAGTACAAATGAACTAATTGAAACTGGCAAATGCCACTATGAAGTATAAGATAGATTTACTATCTTAATCATGAACTAACTCGCCTGAGCAGCAGTTTTAACGATGAAGTTGTTTTCCGAAAGTAATATTGCTCAACAGAATTATAAATAGAATTAGATGTTTTCTCTGTGAACTGTTCTCCCTTGTGCATTTAATGCAGTGCGAGTGCTATTGGTGTGCGTCTTAAATTAACGTAACCGTCACGCTCACACTCATTACTACAATAGTGCCATAACAGCCCTGCTTGATTAAAAACGGTGGATGCTGCCTACAGTGACAACCGTGCAAGAGTGACCCCTTCTAATGCCAGATTGTGAGGTTCAGTTCGGTGCATGGGGAGTTTAAGAAGTCTTCAATTGTGTTTATCGTACAGCTTTCAGGTTAGAACTCTAAGGAGCACTCATCCTCTTGATTTACTTAAGACACTTTGAAACGAATTTTCTACAAGCATTGCCTAAAGGTTTTCAAGACATGGTATAACCTCTCGGACATGGTACATTTGCAAATGTGTCCTGTCAGTTTTCTTTAACGTGGCTAAGGTTGCTTCAAAGAGAATATTTTGCGCACCCAGCTGATGGGCATGCAATATGCTGCTTGTTCACTGGCTAGTACAATTTTTTTCTAACTAAAAGCAATTAAATGGTTGCAGCATTTACATTTTATGTAATATGGCAATACTGAAAAGAGCTGGCATTTTCATTACATACACTTGTACAGTAAATCCATCCTTGGCAGGGTAACAATTATGTGCCTTTTTGGTTAAAGCCCTTTACCCACAGTTGTATGTACTGGAAACATGTACGATTCCTTTTGTATCTATTTTTAAATAGCTTGGACATCTTTAGAGTCAACTTATAGATTTATTGTCTTTCTGATTTTTCTTTTCTGCCGTATCAGCAGTTCATTACGACAGCTTTGCAAACTCTTCGCTTCTGAGGCATTAGTTGTGCACATAAAACGGAAATCCAAGCTGTTATTTATTCATTGTTAGACTGCATAGCTTCATTGGACAGCCTTCACCACCATGGGCGCAGTAGGAAGCTTGAAAGTACGCAAGTTGAACACACAGGACGAAAGAAAAGTCAAACAGTATTATTTCGTACTAACCTTAAAGAGAAACAAAAAGTTTTGTGTTACTGTGTTATCAGCAATATCTGGCTGTTACTTGCTTATCTTTATTTTACCATGGTTCTCTTAGTTATCAGTGCTTATCATCGTTGCTTGAACTATGTGTGTTTAAACAAGATTTCTCTGGGATAGCTTCATATCTAGGTATGTAAGCTTGGCACAGTAACCGACTTTGTAGATCTCTGTAGACTGTGTTCTAATCAGCAATGACACTTACAAAGGAAATTGCAAAGAAAGGCTTCCTCTCCTTTTGCTAGAGTCTATTAGCACTGGGACAGTCTATCAGCTTTTTGGCAGTCTGTCATGGCACAGCCACGAATGCTTTTGCACATCTCAAAGTGAAGATTGTGCCACAGTTGAGGATCATTGTGGCAATATATAGGCTGCATAGATTAGGTGGGCCGATGGTAATAGCAATTTCCTTCGATAAATTTCTTGACCAAAGAATAAGAAGGGTGTCAGTAAAAATAGATTAGAAGAAGCAGCAGAGCAAAAAGTACTGCGAACCCAGTCGCACTACACACCAACTCATTTGCACTTTGATAATACCCGAAATTGTCTGGGTCGCTAAAGCAACAGACTGTCCTCTTGAATGTTAAAGGCTCAACAAGTTCGCGTGAAATTTCTTTGAATAAATTTATGAGAAAGTAAGGTATCATTCGTTTACACTCCTTTCTTATATACAGATTTGAATATTCCAGGGCAATGTGTGCATGATCAATTTGTCTCTTTCAGGCATCCTGACAAGTTCAGTTTTCAGATTGATGTTTTTTCGCCTTTGTTTGAGACTTATATCTAATACTCAATTTTTGATGACTCTAAAGTTGTCCACAAACATGGAAAAGTCATTGATGTAATATATATATATATATGGTCAGCCTAAACAAATAATGTGTTCATGACAGTAAAGAAAATTAAGCACTTTTTCTTTTTTTCAAAGTAAACTTGGCTTTCATTTGTGTGGTTTCAGTACAAGTCAAAAGATAACATTTGACCCGCAAAACAAAAAGGGGGATGAATGAGAGTAAGTGTATAAGTTTGTATGAATGAACTGATGTGTATGAACCAGAAGTTGATATGACAGTGTAAACGATGGTGTATATGCCAGCTTTGACAGCTTTTGTTCATAATATATACTAGACTTAAACAACTGTTTTAGAGTCATTCTATTAATGCCAGTAATCTCTCATTTGTACCCACCTTGGGGCTGAATTATTCAGTGGAATGCATGCAGTCTCCTACTGATTTCCTCATTCAATTTTTTAATCCCATTTGATTATTTCTACTTGACCACCACTATGCTATGCATTATATGCAGTCATCTAACCGCAGCATAAAGGCAGCTAAAGTTTTCGTTGTCATTTCATGAATGTTTAAACATCATAACATTTACATTTGTCAGCAGCTCGGACCATTCTTGCTGTGGGTGCATGCAGCATTTCTTAAAGAGACTTTAAAAGAAATCTTAATATATTTTTTATTTCACCATAGTATTAATCAACTGTATATGCATGTCACCATGATTAAAATAGATACAGATATCAAGGTATGAAAATTATATTGACAGTTATAAAACAGCAGTTTTCACGACATAAATACTCAATCATACTTTACATTGTGCCTTTTGCTTTTCTTGCAATGCCGGACACGGCACAATCTATTCAATTGCATTGGAAGCTGAGCACTTGCAAAATGTCATTAACAGAATAGACTTCAACAAAATAGCAGAGTATGCTTGTTATGCCGTTTCTTCATTTGCATCGTGTCATTTGCTTTTGAGTTGACAAGAAACGCTTTTTGATTAAACTAGCACAGTCGTATTGCATTGCTGACTAAACCATTACAGTGAGTACAAAAACGTGACCTAGGCAAAGGGTCTGCAGATAGTTGGTGCCTGGGGGAAACAAATTTATGCCCTGCAGTAGAGGAAACATATAGACATTTTTTACTCGTCTTCTTCACTTATCTCTCTTTACTCATTCAATCGGGCAGGTAACTTGTAACCTTTGAAAGAAGAAACTTTTCACAAGCCAGGGCGGTCTGTAAATCGTTCTCCCTGGAATCTTGGCAGCATTTTTTATTTATGGAAACAGCATACAGTGCCCGTAATTGAGTTCTTTGTCCGCGGCGTCCATCTCGTTTCGTGTCAATCACAACTTTGTTATGGACACAGCTTATGCCAGCTGCCCAGACGACGTGGAAGGCCTTCTGTTGTTCTTTCCTTCCTCATGCTTAAACAGCTGTTGGAGGAAAGCGTCGCACAGTGCTACGACTAGGGTCAGGTGTAATTTTGTTGTATGGTGCTGAGGTCTGTTGTGCTGTCTACTTCCCTGCCACCTTTTTTGCATTTTTTATTAGTCTGGCTCCTATTCTTGCAGGAAGTAGTTGGTCACAGATTTACGCCTTTTTGTTGTTGTCGTTGTTTGGGGCAGCGATCTAATGCCATGCTAAAATACAGGCATGTGGAATCTTTAACGTCGAAATCAACACAATGCATTTCTGTTTGGCGTTCCCAATAGTCTTGGAGCTACTTTCGAAGTTTTCCCCTAATCTTGTCAATATGCTCTGGTTTTCTGAGTCTTAGAAAAATTGCTGCTTTAATGAGCTAAAATACAGATCATAAAGAACTGCATTGTTGTAGTGAACTGTGGGTTTGTGTAAGTGCTAATGCAACGATGAAAGCAACGTAATCTGTGGCTATTTGGCTTTCTTTGTTTCATAGTCGTGGTGTTTCTGCCAAAATGTCACCATGGCCTTATTGGAATATAACCTCTTTCCGGAAGCTTTTCTGGAGTTATTGCTCGACTGAAATAAGATATCGATTATGAATATCTTGATTGGTTGAGTACGAGTGAACCGTACTCAAACTATTTAGCATTGTAGTTCACCACGAAGTGTATGAATATCCAGCTGAAATGTCTAAATTCCAGCCAGAAACTGGCAAAGCTCCAGCTGGATATACAATTACTTTGAGCTAAATTCCCGAACCCCAAGTCTTTCCAGTTGGACTAATTTTCAGCTCAATAATCCAGTTCCAAATGAAATATTTTCCAACTGGGCTGTTCTTCTTTGTGTCAATTAATATGTCCAATGCCTGCTTTTTTTAAATCCATGCAGACGATGCCCAGTTTTAAGCAGAACAAGACTCCCGGCTGGCCCGAGAATGTCGGCATCCTTGCTATGGAGATCTACTTCCCATACCTCTACGTGGACCAGACCGAGCTCGAGGCGTTTGATGGCGTCTCGACCGGCAAGTACACAATTGGCCTCGGTCAAGACCGCATGGGCTTCTGCTCCGACCGCGAGGACATCAACTCACTCTGCCTGACCGTGACTAGCCGTCTTATGGAGCGAACAGGCGTGCACCCCAGCCGCATTGGCCGCCTCGAGGTCGGCACCGAGACACTTGTCGACAAGTCCAAAAGTGTCAAGACGGTTCTAATGGAGCTGTTCGAGGAAGCGGGAAACACAGACATTGAGGGTGTGGACACGACCAATGCCTGCTATGGTGGAACGGCGGCACTGTTCAATGCAGCCGCGTGGGTGGAGTCCAGTGCCTGGGACGGTAAGCGGCCGCTGCCACTTGCATGTTGCGAAATCACCTTTACTAAAACATCGGTAATTCAATGAAAGGAATCTTTAATGCATGGTTGGCAAAATGTTCATAGCCATATTATTAGACCTATGTCCATAGATGTAACTACGTGTGTATTTTTTTACGTTAAATTTTTGTACAAGAATATAATTATGTACGTATATTTTAACATATAGCTGTGTACATACCCAGATTATGTACATAATTTCGTAGAGATATTATTGTGCTAGTTCAACACAAGCTGTGTTAGCAATACGTGTATGTATTAGCTGTACATAACAATTACTTGGACTTTTATTTGTGGCACACACACTGCCATGCAATGTAATAAATAGAAAAAAAAAATTCAGGTAACCAAGAAAGTGAATGGTTGTGTTGCTAATGTACTGCCAGTCCCTATAGTATTGTGCTATTCCCTATGTAAAATGCGTGTTAACCGTAGCACACAAAAATATAATTATTTGATCACCGTATATGTCAAAGCTTACTGTAGGATATAAGTTGCTGCTACTTGCAATATGTTGTGTTTAGTGATTTGACCATACACTAAGAAGTAGAAGACACTAAGAGGCAGAAGCGTGTTAGTGTTTCATGTCCTGCTTGCTGACACTCTGATGTATCTCGTTCAAATTCAAAAACAGCGTGGTCACAGAATCAATTCTTGTTAATAACTGCCGTGTTGAGAACATGAAAAAGGGCATTTTTGTGAGCATCCACAGTTATTGAAAGCGGCATTTCCGTGTATGTAAACAATTTCGTGTGTCTTTATGTTGAAAGTCGCTTGTTTGCCTGAACATGGACATAAAAATGTAAGGGTGTAACAGTAGTCCGAATTGCCAATTCCATGTTCTGGTTTTCATGTCATCTTACGTTATTCAAAACACAGTTCATAGAAGTGCACCAAAGCTAGTTTAGCTTCTGACACTAATGAAATAGCTAGTTTTGTCTCAGTACATTCTCTTGCTTATTTTTTTCTTTAGATATGTAGTGAATGTTATTCACAAACACACACTTTGTGTGTTCACCGTAAAGTATCTCCCTTCTACGTTGCACCAATATCTATGAACGCTCGGGACCTTGCACCAAGGGAGTTGCTAAATAATTCCACATAGCAATTGAATGGTTGGCACTCGCTACCTTATTTAATATAGTTTAAGCCGAACTGCAAGAGACAGGTGAGTCCCGTGCAGCTTGGCCTGTGTTTCGGGCAGCTCACTGTTTATGGCCTGAGAGCATTCCACGCTGGAAGATTGCGTGCCAACAGGTGCTCTTTGCGCATAACTTTATAAGCTGGCTGCTTTACATGTCCTTTTCTTTATTAGTTCATGTGACATTAGTGGAACATTCATTATCAGTGATTGTGTAATTTGATCACCTGGATTTTTTTTTTTTCTCGACCTGCCATGGTAGCTCAGCGTGTGGGGCATTGCGTTGCCAATCTAGAGGATGCAGGTTCGTTTCCGAGCCAACTTGGAACATTATGCTACCCTTAACAGGTTCCACATGTGTGTTCTTATTCTGTGACTTAGCTTGAGACTAATGTTGAAATTTCAGACAGGAGTGGTGTCTCGTAGCTAAAGTAGCACTGGACAAATGAAAGGGATGCAGTATCAGCTGAGCCATAAATACATTCTTGTTCCTCCTAGGGACTAAGATTACTCTTATGATTCTTACCCTAGCCTAAAGAGTGTGCTATGAGCATGACAAGTGCCATAAGCCTTAAACCTCATCTTCATAGCATGTCTAGAAGTTCAACTTGCTGTGAGACATGCTTTAAACAGCTTTACCAAAAGCAAATACCTACCTTTCTTAACATTCCTGGTTATGGGAGAAAACGTTTCTGCGTCTGGGGGTGTCACCTTTATAGGCTGTGCTTGCGTTGACTTAATATCATCTCGTGACCTCTGGTTCCATACTTGTATCCTGTATTTTGCAGTGTCAGTCACTTCGTCATGTAAGTGTATGTGCCGTGGTCATTGTCAGTATTTTGTCTTTGGGGGGTGCAAACCATTTTTGAACATGGCTGGGGGCTTTTTGAACAAGTGCTTTTTTTGGCATTTTTGAACAAGTGCTGGTGTAGCATGAAAGGGCACCTTTTGCACCCCCCTGCCTGCCGACGCCCATGGAGTGTACTTTTGCTACTTGCAACTGTCCAATCCAGTTGAGTCGTGCTCACTCAAATTCACATTTTTGTGGGTTTTACAGTAATGTTTCATGTACATTGCAAATGGGCTTATGGAAGGCTTAGATGAAGTTGGCTCACCTGGACTTTATAACCTCTTACTTGTGCTCTTTGGCGTTTTGCAGGACGCTACGCCATTGTGGTGGCCGCCGACATTGCTGTATATGCCACAGGCCCTGCCAGGCCCACGGGTGGTGCTGGTGCCGTGGCCATGCTTGTCGGGCCCAACGCGGCTCTCGTCCTAGAGAGAGGTGAGCTTGCCAGGGGGTTGTCCTTCCAACTTGCGCAAAAGTGGGTGTCACTGTGAAGTCGACACGATTTGGACCTCTTGCTTCGACATCGCTTTACCCTTTCTCGGGCACTCTCGTCGACTTCACAGCTTTAGCTTTCACAAGAGGGCATGTCAGTAACATTTCCTACCGGCTAGCAGCGGCCCACAGCTTCAGTGGAATTTGCTCCTGGCAGTTATGGTCTGCCCACAGCCCAATGCCACTGCATGAGACAGTAGTTGTAAGTTGAAAATCAAGCTTGGTAATTAATACATGCTGGAATTAATGTTTCAGGTTCAAGATTATAATACCTGCCCGTAGACATCGGCAGGATGATGTATTGGGGGGTGTCGCTATGTCGCGTCTCACCCGGGGGGAGGTGGGGGGGGGGGGGAGCTGGTGTAGCCAGAATGGAGAAAAGTACCGTTGTCTAGAGGGGGGCAAGTGTTCTTTTGGCACCCCCTGCCAGCACCCGTGTACCTGCCTGAAAAGAGCAGTCTACATTACGCTGTATCTCTGTCCTGCTAATTTTGCACGAAAAGGTCCAGATCAACGCAGTTTCTTTAATCATAAGTGCACTAAACTTCACACGGATGCAGACGAATGTGACACACTGTGTTGCTCTTCGAATGCATTAGTTTCTATACACCTGTATAACATTGGGAAAGCAGATGATAGAGCCAGGAAAGCACAGTTACATTGAGAGTGGGTCTCAAAATCGCAAAATATGTGAGATCTACCCATTCAAGGAGAAGTCGCAATTCTGCACTGTGTTGCTAAGAGCAATCTTCCACACATGCCTAAGGCATACGGTTTCTGTATTCATATGATTGCAAATGAAAAGGTCCCTCTGCTGATGTTAACATCAAAAAGCAAGTACTCGTACTTGGCACTGAAAGATAGCACATGTCAACGGCAATAGGTGAGGATAGTGGACCTAATAGTGCAATATATAAAATTTCTGCTACTGTCAAAAAATCGTCCATATGCAATGCTCTCAAGGTTCAAAAGCTCACTAATGATCATATTTAGCTGCAATTGACGGATTTCACAACATGCATCACAAAAAGATACCTGGTTTGCGATTTGCTCTAGTAGTTGGGTTGACGTCTTTGAGTTCTTCAATGTACTGAGAAAGAACAGAATGGCTTAGTGTTGTGCGACACGCTACCCTGGGGGAAAACGCATGTACACCTGACACCTGCGCTTGTCTCTCTATAACATATTGAATCACTTGTGACTGCAAAGGATCTTGTACAAATGACACCTGTGTAGATATAAAGTTATACGTTTAGCTAAGTGTACAATATACAGTCGAATCTCAATAATTCGAACTCAAAGGGGCCCAAGGATTTGTTTGAATTAAAAGAAGTTCGAATTAAAGAAAGCTAAGCAAACGGAGGGCTCATCATGCAGTGTAAGAGCTAGCACACGACAGGGAAGTTTCAGAAAACTTACATTCACAAATCAAAGGACATCCTTCATTATTTGAAATAATCAGTGATGTGCGTCTGCACACGTTCGCCTTGTAGCGAGCTAATCAGTTTCACATGCAGCTTGCAAAGCATTTCTACTTTGGCTTCAGCATTCTACTGTCATGAGAAGTAGGGCGCAGCAATGTCCAGCGCCGACACTAAGGATGACAACAACAACTGCGTCTCCGCTGAGCCGCAGCCGCAGCATGGCCAGCATGTGACGAGAAAGGGGAGCATCTCCACGCGGGGAGAAGCAGATCTGCATTTGAGAGAGAACCAACACTCCATGGCAGCTTTTTTTTTTTTTTTTTGCTCTTTTCGCGCACATCGTTGAAAGGAAGGTCTATGTGGCAGAGACGAGAAAGGGGGAAGTGTGGTACCGGCGCGTGAGAGAGAGCCAACACTCCCGCGACGCATGCCGCAAAAACTTTCTTTTTTTTTTTTTTTTTCTCACTCGTCGCACGCAGCATTGAAAATAGAAGGGTCTTTACATGGTAGGGACGAAAAAGGGAGAAGCGTGGCCCAGGCATGTCGCAGATCGGCATTTGAGAGAGAGCAAACATTCCACTGCAGCCTTTTCTTTCCTTTTCTTCTTCTTCGCGTGCAGCGTTGAGGTGTCAGAGGGTCGCTGCGGGATTGGATGTGGTGCTGAAAGTGTTTTTGGGGTGCGGTATGTTCGAATTAACCGTCAGAAGTGCTTGCGCGTCCGAATTACAGGGCGTTTCCGACCATTGGAATACACATAGCTTTGACGTGAACTCAGCGTGAGTTCGAATTAACCAAAGTTCGAATGAATGAGATTCGACTGTATAGTAGTCATTTGAAAAGTGACCTGTACAAGAACACTCAGCAGTGTCATTCACAATGTGGCACTAGCTATGATTTTAATTGTCTGTCTGCTAAATGTCTGAGCAGAAGTGTACTGGCATTTCTGGGCAATAGCTATGACTTTGATTGTCTGTCTACTAAATATCTGAGCAGAAGTGTACTGACATTTCTGAAAGGAGGGGGAGGGGAATACATTCATTATGATTTTCAGCATGGCGCCCTGTGGCCTCATGAACTGAGATTGCGCATGTCTTCAGCTAGCTGTTAATGACTAAACGCTGTTCTGCCACTTGTGGAGAATCCCGAACAAGGTGATGTCACTTAGTTGTGGAAATGATGGCGATTTGCAGCCCTGCACAATATTTTAGTTTGTGAGGCCATGTGTTGCAAGTCGCATTGAGTGCTACTGTACATAGACGGTAATCCTTGGAGTGGTTGTTCGTGGGAGAACAGTAGCGATCCCGCCAACACTTGTACGGCTACATGAGGTCATAGAATTCGGGGACCGCAGCCTCAAGCGGTTAGTAATCGCATAGGTCTGTGTACAGAAGGTGCCCAGCGTTGTGGTGAGAGTCCTGAAATTTTCCTCATTCCACAGGTGTGAGGTCGACCTACATGAGTCACGTGTACGACTTCTACAAGCCAGACCTCCTCTCGGAGTACCCACGTGTTGATGGCAAGCTCTCGGTCGAGTGCTACAGCAGAGCCCTGGACAAGTGCTATGCCGGTTTCTGCAAAAAGGCGAGAGCTGTCCGCGCTGATGGTTAGTGGTGTCAATACTTTAGGTTTCTTTCCTAAGCTTTATTGTTCTCACCCCAAGCTACTGATGACACCTTTCCACACCATTCATCTTTTTTTTTTTTTTTTTTTTGCCAGAAGATGTTCCTGGACAAGTAAATTTTTACATGTGAGAGATAGAGGTGTTAGGCACAATCAATGAAACCAACAAATAATTCAGCTGAGGAAACCATAGGGGACATAGATTGCTTTTTAAAACACTGTAATTACTCGAATCTAACGCACACCTTTTTTCCGGTTAAGCGAGTTCATAAATCGCATGCGCGTTAGAATCGAGTACGAAAAAAAAAAATGAATACGGTCATTTTATTGCCATCGACATTCCAAAATGGCCGCCCCCTACGTCCGTCGGCATGGCGCGTCGGTCATTTCTGCCTATGTGTTTCCCATGTGTGGCACTTGGTACGTGTGCTGAGGAGTTCGTCATCTTAGTGTGCATTAGCATCGACGGCATGGAAGGGCCGACTAAAAACTCGATTAGTGCACCACGATGCCGCTTTTAAAAGAAAAGTCATCGCGTGTGCCGAAACGGATGGAAATCGGGCTGCATCGCGGTCGTTCGGAGTTCCCGAAACGTGCGTGCGGGACTGGCGGAAACAAAAGCAGAATATTGTCGACAGCAAAGATTCATGCAAAGGCTTCAGCGGACCACAGCAGGGTTGGGTTCCGCAAATTGAAGAGCTGCTTGGCGAGTATGTGATAGAGCAGCGAGCGGCACAAGCGGCCCGTGACGACAGAACTGCTCCAAGTGCAGGCTATGCAGTTAGCCTTAGAAAAAGAGCTAATGCGGAGCCAGTTTAAAGCGAACAGGTGCTGTTCAACTTTATGAAGAGGAAAGGCTTTTCCCTCTGAAGGCAAATGGGCATATGCCAAAAGTTGCCGGAGGAGTACGAAGAAAAGCTTCAGTTTTCAGAGGTTTGTCCTAAACTTGCGACACAACAACGGCTTCCTGCTTGGGCAAATCGGGAATGCCGATCAGACGCCTCTTTACTTCGACATGCCTGGCACCACAACCGGCGAGAAGAAGGGGGCGAAGCAAGTTCGCGTGCTGACATCGGGCCAAGGTAAAACTAGAGTGACGGCGATGCTCCGTTGCATGTCAGATAGGCACAAGCTTCCCCCATACCTCATCTTTAAACAGAAGACGCTCCCGAAAGGAGTCTTTTTCCCGAGTGGTGTGATCGTGTGGGCCGAGAAAAATGGGTGCGCGTTGCAATCGGTGTCTTACTTTTTTGTTTCCGTCGTGGAAACCGGGTGCGCGTTACAATCGAGGGCGCGGTGGAATCGAGTAAATACGGTAACCGTAGTGTAACGATGGCGAACTAAATTGAAAGGAATAAAGTGGACGGCAAAGCACTCTTTCTATTCTTTATTCTTTATTCTTTATTCAAAAAAAACCTTACAGGCCCCAGAACAGGGCATTGGGTAAGGGGGGGAGGAATCGGAATGGTACAGACAGGTAACGAACAGTTTACAGGCAGGATCAGTGCAAAAACAACGAAAAACTATATATATATAAATGAGATCACATCTTAGGCTATAGAGGGCGAGGTAAATTTGAGGGAATACAGCACTTGTTGATATGAACATGGCAACAGAGGGATACATTTTAAAATAAAAGACAAGGGGAATATAAAGCACCGTTACGCAATGCACTCAGAATACAAAAACAGGGTCACATGGTGAACAGAGTGAGTAGCTGACGGCGAAATGTATCGGGATTAGATATGGAGGCTATGCAATCAGGTAGGTCATTCCAAAGACGAACGGCCCGAGGCAGTGGTGATGAATTGAATGCATTAGTTGACCCGTATATGCGCATGAAGCTGAACTGATTATGCAATCTGCGTGAAAAAGAGTGAGGTGTTTGAAGCTGAAGCCGCGTTCGTTTATTAGAGGTAATATATTTCTGGAACAGACAGAGAAGAGCAATACTGCGACGGCTATCCAATGACGGCAGCTGAAGGTCTGATTTAATTTGCGTTATGTTTGACGTGATGTCGTAGTTTCGTGATATGAAGCGGGCACCTCTATTTTGAATCCTTTCTACCATAATAATCAAGTAGTTTTGATGAGGAGACCAAATTGCTGAGGTGTATTCTAATATTGGCAGAATAAAGGTAAGAAAGGCTAGTTTTCGAATATTAGTAGGGGAATTTCTCAAGTTGCGGCATAGGGTAGCCCAGTGAACGTGATGCTTTGGCACAGGTAGACTCGATATGTGAGGCCCATGAAAGATTCTCTGTGAGAAGAACACCTAGGTATTTGTAGGAAGAAGTGTGGGAAAGCATGGTATTGTTCAAGTAATAGGAGAATTCAGAGTTTACGTGTTTACGGGTGAAAGACATTACCTCGCATTTTGTTAAGTTCAGTTTCATAAGCCACTTGTCGCACCAGTTACAAATATGGTTGAGATCTGCTTGAATGGTTAAGTGGTCATTACTGGAGTTTATAGAACGGTATATTATACAATCATCGGCAAATAGACGCATGCAAGAAGTAATCTCGGAGGGTAAGTCATTAATGTAGATTAATAATAGTAAGGGCCCAAGGACGCTGCCTTGCGGTACGCCCGAACTAACAGAAGAAAAAGGGGACGCAAGATTGTTAACAACAGTGAACTGCTGTCGAAAAGAAATGAAGTTTCGAATCCAGGTTAATGTTAAAGAATCAAGTCGTAGAGCAGATAGCTTAGAGATTAGTCGGCAATGGGGCACACGATCAAAGGCTTTAGAAAAGTCAAGGCATGGCGCGTCGGTCATTTCTGCCTATGTGTTTCTCATGTGTGGCACTTCGTACGTGTGCTGAGGAGTTCATCATCTTAGTTCCGTATTGTTGGAGTCCTTATTGTTGAATATTGAATCCTTATTGTTGGAATCATTCCTTATTATTGGAATCCAAGCACAAAACCATCAAACAATGTATCCGATATGATCCGAGTTAACTCAAAGGGTTACGATGGAGGACGCTCTCTTGTCCAGTTTGTTAGGTATTCATGGGCATTTAATCCCTGAAAGTGTTAAGCAGCAGCACTCGTAGTCAAAACGGTGAGTGTAGACGCTTTCTTTTGCGAGAGTGCGTCTCGCGGCACTGTTCATGAGGCAGCAGCTTACGCTTAAACCCATGCCTGGTAGCCAAGGCAGCAAATATGCTGGGACAAAGCCCTCACTATGAAAGTACGAAAGACGGGTAATTGTTTGGCAGGCTCATTTCTTTGTTAGGCACAACCAACGAAACCACTTCGATTCCTTTCAGTCTAGGTCCTAATCATTGGACTACAGTTAAAAACCAACGTCTCCTATGCCTTCCTTGGCTTGATTTACTGTTGGTTTCATTGGTTGAATATAACAAATAAAAGAAGCCCTTGTATAATTGCCATTTTTTTTTATTTGGGGGTGTGGAAATGGAGCAAGTTTTAAGGCATAATAAAATCGGGCCAGAATTGAATATTGGATTCGTTTGAAATACTGAATTGCCGTTTTCACGTTTTAAATCTTTAACAATGTGTGCTTAGTGTCAACAATGCAATGTTGTACCTGGCCATTGTATGTAGTCTTATTTCAAAGGGTCTGGTATGAGCTTAATGTACCATGCTTTTTGTGCATGTTAAGAACATCTTAGTTGAAATTTAAAAAACAATGGGGCATGGGCAGGGTATATAGTGCAAAGGCAACATAATTTTTAGTCATTAGTAGCCACATATTGGATTCCAAAAGAAGGCAAGCGTGCAAGCGTGGCAGGAAGTTGGGTGGGCAGATAATATTAACCAAGTTTACAGGAGATAACATGGTTGCTAGGAAGCACGGGGCTGGGTTAATTGGCAGAACGTGGAACAGGCCTCTGCAGTGGGTGTAGTCAGTTTGTTGATGATGATAATCAAACTATTCTGAAAGGAAGTTCATCATAATGGCATTCCTTATGACCCACTGCTGTGTTTTTTTGCTCTGTTTTACTTTATCATGAGTTTGACGGCCGTATATTCGCATTTTCGCAACCATTTTCCATCGCTGCAGAGCACCACGACAGGCCGGTGACCCTAGACGACCTGGATGCCATGCTGTTTCACGCTCCATACGGGAAGCTAGTGCAAAAAAGCCTGGCCAGGCTTGTGCTCAACGATTTTCTGCGGGATTCAACATCCCCCAAGTATGCCAGCCTAGCTGGCTTCAGGTGAGAGCGTTTCTTAGACTTTGAGGGTTCTGTTGTGCAAAAAATATGGTCGAATATTGCGTGAAAGTTTCTAACTTTAGTAGAATGTGGCAAGGAAATCTGGTGCGAAGCTTTACAGCCTTTAAGTGATCCTGTGAAGAATGTCACTAAGCCATCCTTTTAGAATAGCTTGCCGGTGGTGTGTTGTAGTCTTCAGTGGGCTGAAGGGCAACAGCCAAGGCGAGAAGCAACGGGTGTTTGTGTCTTGACAAACATACTCGTATCTCAAGGTCTAGCTAAGCCGCACGTGTGGCGCCAGACGGCAAAGTGCATGACAAGTCAACCTCCAAACATTCATCATTATCGTGGTCTCGGGCAGTTTCCACCAGCACCTAATGTGACATCTCTTCAGTAGTGACGACATGGTTGTCTGCATAAAAAAAATTGCAAAGCTGAACATCCTCAGGGGCCGCTGCATGCGTGCGCAGTGAAACCATGGACGCTCACGTGATGTTGAAAACAAAGAGCGAGTGACAGGGACACCATGGAATACTATTCGGTATAGTGATCTCCATATGTAGCGCAGCCGCACATATGCAGTGCGAACTCTAATAGTGGCACAAGGCACGAATTTAAGTATTTTGAAATGGGCTCATCGGGGCGGATCAACACGGAACAATAGTACACTCAAACCACATTATAACAAAGCTGCATCTTATGCAAAAATAAGTTCGTTATTCCTAACACTGTATCTATTGCAAGACTGTTTTTATGTACTACATTATGACCAATAATCTGTTATATCCTTGTACGTTATATCGAGGTTTGAGTGTATCTCGTATTTCATGGTACGGTATAGGCGTGCTATGTTCCTGCAAAACATGATTATAAAAGTGACAAAATTGTTATTCACCACTCCTGTCTCTCCCCTCCACCTCTTTTTCAGCTCTGTACATTTAGAGGACTCTGTGTTTGACCGAGACGTGGAGAAGGCCTTCATGAAGTTCAGCCAGCAGATGTTTGAGGACAAGACTAAGCCAAGTCTCCTGGTGTCCAACCAAGTGGGCAACATGTATACGCCCTCTCTGTACTCCTGTCTCGCCTCTTACCTCTCCAGGTGAGTTGCTCGTAGCGGATGGCACTTCGATGTTAAATGCCTGTTTGCCAGGTTCAGGCATTTATGGGAGATCCACAAAGGGAATGCTAGGGCACTGAAACGAATTAGGTTCCTAGAATGATATTCTAACAATTCATGCGAACATTGTATGAATTTTACTACGTATATGCTTTTGTGTATGCATTTGTTTAGTGTCTCTTTAAAACCCCAATCTATGAAAGGAGTGGTGCCACCCAATTTGTGGTTTTCACATTATTTGCTGCAAGCGTTTCTTACAGCTTCACGAAGCATATGATAAACACCAAGATTTAGCTATTTTTGTAAGTAATTTAATATCTCCTTATTTATGTGGACAACATTCAATTTCGGTTTCTGGGCACCTGAGCTGGACAGTGGCATGACAGGGTGGTGGGCTTGGTCATGTGACCACACAAGGCTGTGATGCACTGTCGTGTCGAGTATTGTCTGCTCTAGCACACACGTGCCACACCATAAAAAAAAATTTACTGACAGTTGCAATGACTAGCTGCAGCAACCGCGAGCGGTGTAGCAGTCGATGCATTGCCGGTATGTACGTCGAGGAAGTAGTGGAGGTCATTCACAGATCTGGTGTGATGTTGCTGCAACTTTTGTTGCCCTCCTTATGGAGCTACGTCAATGCTGGGTGCGCTAGCGATGAGTCTAGGATCGAGTGAAAGAGCCATTTGGGCACTGCGTTGGAAGTGAATTGAAATATATTCTAAACATTTGTTGTGTCTGGCGCTTTGTGTGGAGTGTCCTTGCATACAGAGGAAACCCACAACAGGCTTTTTATAGCCTCGAAATTTGATGGCACCACCCCTCTAAGGAGCACCATACAATCTATTATGAGTGCAAAGGCAAGGAAAAAATTTATCCTTTTGGATGTTCAAGGCATAAAATAAAATCTTATTTGCATGAATGTTTTGTGTGTTTTCAATTTTGCAGGAATATTGGGCCCATTAACTTTGCCTAATTGTAGTGTGACTGCAATTCACTTGCATTGCTGTGACGATTTGTTTCTATAAACAGCTTTTGTTTTTTTACGCTTTGCATGTTAGTCATGTTTTCATGACATTGTGTTGATGATATCCTTTCCTGTCCTTTTCTTATGACAGCTTCCCAGTGTCCCAGTTGGCAGGCAAGCGCATTGGGATGTTCTCGTATGGCTCCGGCTTGGCAGCCACTCTGTTCAGCCTTTGCGTGACAAACAACCTGGGGCCAGACTCCGCATTGCATGAGCTGCATGCCAGCCTGGTTGACTTGCGTGCGCGGCTTGCCCAGCGTCGCAAGGTAGCACCCGAGGAGTTCGCCCTCATCATGAAGCTCCGTGAGGAGACACACCATCAAGGTGATGATCATTTCGCAGCGTGGCTGTATTGGTCTGCTCTGTGCTGTCGTTGTAGTACAGTTGAATCCCTCGATAGCGAACAAAATTTTTGTGGCAACGAAGTAATCCGACATCAGCAGCAAACGTTTGTAGATTTGCCTCTTCTTGCCACTAAATAGATTTTAAATATAACTCCCACAACAACGAAAGCTTCGAGTAGTGTCCACAACATACCTTTCAACCCATGAGTTAGTTGGGAGCCCAGAAGTTAAAAAATTACAGCACCGCTCATCCGACAAGTCGTAAACATATGCTTCTGCCGACAAGAATCGCCGTTTACATTGGGTTGGGTGATGATAATAGCAAGCAACAAAACGCAGAATAGGCAGGTAAAATCGCCCGAAGCTTTTGATGTTTTGACATCATTTACACATTCCTCAACGACCATGACTATAGCGAAGCTATACAGAAATTACTGTAGGGCTCTAGTCTTCAAGCTCTTTCAAAGCAATGTGAAACAGAGCAAGATCAGCAACAAAGTAATTAGTGTATATTTTTCTATTTCTGCAAAAATGAAATTCTGTCTAGAGTGGACAAAGACTGCTTGCACGGCGATGTCGCAATTGAGGGGTTCGACCATAGTAGCAATAGTAGTAGCAGTGATTGTAACGGCAGTCATTGTAAGAAAGGCCACATTAACGAATAGGGAGCGAATGAAGAAATAAAACAAAATGGTGATGATTATCTTCCACTACAAAACATGGCTGAAGGAATTCATTTTCATTAATCCCCCTCATTACAGATTCATGTTAACCATGGCAAGGCAAAGCATTTTGCACCATCATTAATTGTATTCATTACACCTACGTTAACCAATGCAACTTTAGCTTTCATAAATTGCGTTATTTATGGTTAAGTTACTTTAATAAACTAAAGCAAAGCATGTGGGTGCCTTAGAGGGTCATAAACCTAACAGGGAGTGCAGGATAGGCAGGATTTGGGCTGCGCTAGTGACAAATATAGTGAAGCTTTCACTGTAACGCCATTGCCTGAGGTGGCTGGTCACGCGACCTCACTTTGCCAAATTAAGTGTAAGCGTGCGCGTTTCGCGTGTAGCGGTGAATTTAGGACACGACATGGCTTCGCTAGCCACTCTTGCACGCTTACAGCTTCACTATCCGACGATTTCCGCCGCGTGGAACTAGCCCAATTTTTTCAAAGTGTTTGGAGCTCTCACTTCACGTCATTTCAACAACCGGTCCTTTGTGGTAAACTTGTGTGTCTCAATTTTGTGCAGCACCGTACACGCCCGTCGGTTCTTTGGAGGACCTCTTTCCGGGCACATGGTACCTTGCATCGGTGGACAGTATGCACCGGCGACATTATCAACGCCTGCCACTTGCAACTGCAAACGGAAAGGCTCCAGTGGCAACCACACTCAAGGTACACATAATATATTCGTCGTTTCAATGCTTTTTGGTCACTTGCCAGTTCACCTCAAGTGGAGCGAGGCAGTGCGTTCTTTACAGGCATAAATCGTGCTAAATGATGCAAACCACAACTGAAACGAAGAGACAGTATTGTATAAGCTATCAGACAAAGCTTTGAAAATCAGGAAGAGCTGTCTGAAAATGAGAATAGCAACATGGGGGAACTGGCACATACTTGCGCTTATCGCTTGCTTACATAAATGTACCCACTCACTCTCATTCAGATAGTACACTCATCCTCTTGCACTCTTTGTCATTGAATAGTTCATTGGGGGAACCAGAGGGGGGGCGGTAGGAGTGATCGCCCCCCCCCCCCCCCAACTCTGTTTCAACACCAACACCCCCCCCTCTTCAGTGCTTGCAGTCCACCTCCTATCACCAATTAAGACAAATGAATGAAACCACTGTGAACACATAACAGTATTTATGCTATGGAAAGGTTTTTATGCTAGTACAAACAAAAAAAGTCATCACTATGCCCCCTCTCGGGTGCCCCCCTCCCCCCTAAAATGAGAGGCTGGATCCACCCCTGCACTGGTTCCTGGTGAATGGGCGTGGAATGGTCACTAGTCTGCATAGGCTTTAGGGTATCAAACTATGCTCTTCAGAGCACTCTTTATGAGTGGTGAACATTTGATCCTATTCAAGAAGCAATAGGACATGTGCATAATTTGATCACGATCCTGACAGCTGTACGTCGTGTCTCTCTCACAGGAATTCAACAACAGCGAAGTCACCACCAATGGTCAGGCCATGGCACACGAGACCTAGCAACGTGGGACTACCTGCAGCGTTGGCGAAGACCGTCCGTGTGCTGCACTGCCTCTTTCCTTCCCTTCCTTTTCTAGCTCGGAATTGTTATTCCTTACCTTTAACATCAGTTTATCAACCACATTATTACCTTTTTTTTTTTCCTTCATCCCACCTTTAATTTAGCCTGTGTTAACATTGTAGCAACGGTTATTTTAATGAACATTTTTCTCACTACAAAGCTGAGCAAAGTACTCCCGCGAGCCTCTAAACAAAGCTGTCTCCACGACGGCCTGCTGTCCTCGTGACTCTAGTACACAGCATCTCGCCGCCTCGGAAACGCCCTCACGTTGTGTTGTAGGACTCTGCCTGGAGTTGTGTTGTCGAGCATGCTGCGCGAGCGGTGTGCAGGAAACTACAGTGGCCTTTGATGAGGAGCGTGTTGAAGTCTCGTTAGTGGACGTTTGGGAAGAAAAGGAGGAAAGCGTTGGGAAGCTGCGGTGTTGCGTGCATTTTGCGTTGTTGGCTCCGTTGTAGAAGATATAAAAGTCGTATGTGATGGGATCGTGTGAAATGCCTGCTGAAGCTGGGAATATGTAGGAATAGATTCCTGTGTAGATATGCCTCACTCCACAGCCCTTAGCCTCCACAGGAAGGGGCGATTGCTCTTTCATATCTTGCGTTTTCTTTTTCATACTGCCTGCCTGTGAACAAAATGCAGATGTCGATAAGTGAGTAGCGCCGTTTACTGTGAATATAGCGATAAAATCGCACTAGCACAGACATTTGCTAGGGGGTAGCGCAATTATGCAGTATTCGTTCACTGACTGTTATGGCATTTTTTCGCAGAAGTTTTCCTGCTGAGATTCTGAGCGAAATGAGTTTACCAATTGGACTATGCTGCAAAATGCCCTAATGGTTTTGGATCGAAGGGGGAAAAAAATGTGTATCTTATTGGCCGCACAAAAAAAGGGAGGGGGAGGCAATAGCCAGATGTTTCCACAATTAATATAAGTATAAGAATTTTGTAGCGTGTTTTGCTTTTCTGCACTTTGTAGAGGAGACGGTATGAGAATGTGTTACCCATTAACGCATTACTGCTAAACCACTGTGGAGGTGCTTTTTTTATTTATTCAGTTTTTTTCTAGAGCACTTGTTTTAATACTTTTTTTCTGTTTGGTATGTGGGTTATCGCGTAATATTTTACATAATTTAGACGAGCACATAGTGCTGCTTTGTTCAGATTATTGCCGTCTTATTAGGAGAATGAAATGACTCAATGTTCACGCTTAAAATTTTTTTATACGTAGGGAAAAGAAAATGACGTGTCGCCTTTTATGCTGGAAGAGTTTGGATATGCATTGGTATCCTTTGTCGATTGTTTTTCTACGACATCTGACTGTAACCCGTAATACCACAATGATACCTTTGATCTGTGATGCAAGGCGCAGCTTGTATTGACAAATAAAGGTTGTAATTATCTTTTTATTTGTGTCTCCTTTTTATTTTGAACTTGCACATGTTTTAACCTGTATACATGTAGTCTATGAATACTTTGGCAAAGACACTTTTGTTACGAATTTAACAGCAGGCACCCAAACAGTACACAGTATACCTCTGACGTTTCAGAAAATCGCGAGAAAGTGCGTCTGTGGCTGTGCAACAGGCTACAGATACACTGCACGACAAGCTACAGCCTGTGGATGCTGTAGCCTGTCAGACGGCATAGACAACACAAACTTCTCGGAGTCGTTCCTTGTCGGACTTTTCACGGTTTTTCTATATGCTGGCTACCACTATACCATGTCTGAACACTGCCAATCTCTGCACTCTGGTAAGGATTCGGGGATGACAACAATCTTGCTTGATAGGTTTAGAGGGTGGGGAAACATGTCAGTCTCTCTGTGTACACAAATCGCTCAAACAAAATTGTTGCTTAAATGGGAACAAGTCTTTTGTTGGCTGGTGTTGTGTATATGAATGCTATAGAAAAATATATATATTACTTTGAGTTGGAACTGAAATATTCATAACTCTTTGTCAACGAAATTCTAGAAACAAACTTGATACTGTTTTGTACTGTTTTGATACTGTTTTGAGGAAATTTCTGAAATATTTTCATGTGACACCTACCTTGTGTCTGCAATCCCATCTTTATCACACGGTGCCAAGGACCGTGCACAACTTTGTTATTCAGTGGAGCAAGGCCAAATCTGAGAGGGAGTGGGGGTTGTATCCAAGGACAAATAACAAAAATAAGTGTTTTTTAGGGTCTTGATCAATAAGTGTGCCCCCCGCTCCTTCCCGAAAAAAATTCCTGGCTACGGGCCGCAGTTAGAGCTACGTTTTTTTTTTTCTCTTTTTTATCGCGTCAGCTCGAACCCAAAACTAGTAAAGCCTAGTTCGTACAAAAGCCAGCAGCTGTATCACTTGTCATAGGACAAGCTAGCTGATGCATTCATGCCTACAATACCCTAACAATGTTGGGAGGGTTTGCGACAGACAATGCTACATCAGCACATCTTTCTTAATAAAGGACATGTTAATTGGAGCTCATTTATCTGGCCCATGTCATTTCTGCTTATGAGATCTTATTGTACGAAAACAGGAAAGAAGCTTATGTTTTTGCACCACCTCACTAGCAGGAGTTGCAGAGTGGGGCAGTGATTGCATTTTCGTCAGCTTTTCGGGCCAACCAGCTTTCAAATATTTTGCCAATTTGTATTACTTCATATGTGTTACTCTGAAAAGAATGGTATGTGTATATGTTCGTCAATGGTTAATAATGGAAGTCTCGTAACTGTATCCGGAAGACGCACGGCAGCTGCTCTAAAAACTACTTGACTTTTCAGAGATCATAGTAGCAATGATGCTCTTGCAATGATGCTCAACTTACACCAACTGAATTGTTATTCCCAGTTGGTTATATATATATATTGGGGGCAGTATTTTCCGATATTCACCACCACAACAATATGTTCAATCTCTCAACGAACTGTAGTAATTTGGGCATTGTGATAGACTGCGACCCAGAGTGCACCCTGCTCGGGGAATTAAAGCGCAGTGGTATTACCCGAAAGGAAGAAAAGGGTGCAACAAGTTATGTGAGTGATGCAATGTCGATCACTGTCTGTCTTGGTGCAACAGTGGATATATGGCGCTTGGCTGCTGACCTGAAGATCCCGAGTTCGATCTGCACCAGGGCGGTCGTATTTCAATGGAAGCGAACTGGTAGAGGCCCGTGTACTGTACGATGTCAGTGCATGTTAAAGAACATCAGATTATCGAAATTTGCGGTGGCCTCCACTACGGTGTCTCTCATGATCATATCGTGGTTTTGTGACGTAAAACCCCAGATATTCTTATTATGCAATGCCAGTCGCATTGCGCAGAAACTGCAGATGCAGCGAAGTACTGGAAATAAGGTCCACAAGTTGGCTTTGGCATTCTGCTTGTGCAAAATAATGCAGAATGCAGAAGAATGCGAAAGGGTATTATTCATGGATTATATATAGCATGTAAACTTTACATTGGCATAAAAGTAAGGCTCACCTGCTCTGTACATTCTTTTGTTCTCCTTGAAAAATGGCTTATACTGACAGTAAACAGTTAGCTTGCTGCACTCATGTGCCACGTATGTGCACTTGTATGTTGGCTGTCTTTTTCTTTCCTTTAAGGCTACGTAATTTTTAACTGGCTGAATTATTCGAAGCTTGCACTGGAAATTGGATTGTGTCATTGACTGATGAAGCTACAGTATTCAATTCAGTTTTTTTATTTGCAAGGCCAAAACATACGGAAATGCCAAACTGATTGGACTCATAGCCAAAGGCTAATTGTGGGTCCGAAAAATAAATGAATAAGAGTTCCATGTACAAAAAAAAGATAAATTACATACGCACAGATAGTACGTCTATTGCTACTTCGGCTGCTGGTGAATTTGCAAAGCATGTGCATATCTGCTTAAAAATTGTTGGGACGACACCACTTTCATGATATCCATCACTAAAGTGATTCCGCAGCCATGAGCTTTTGCTGAACGTGCGACACATACAAATACAAAACGCTGTGCTCCACCCAACAATGCGATGCTGTGTTAGTTGTGGTCTTTCACTAAAGCCAGGCAGTTCACAAGACTTCTCAGAACTGTGTAACGTCTCTGAGTTATGTGAGGAATCTCTATGTAAAAGAACATCTATTACAAAACGCATGCACATTCAATTTACTTTTGTGCTTAAGGTGTAAAAAAATAGTTAATACAACAGGAGCAAGTACATGCATGTTTACCACAAGTTTGCTTACTTTTGTCATTTACTTCAAAACTGTGCTTGTCATGCTTGGGATTTGTTTCAGATGGGTATATGTCATGTAAACTTGCTCAGTCCGCAATTCTCAAACTTTAAGACTTACTGAAATTAGAAAATAAATTAGTGAAACATTGTCAATTGCGCGCTTTGATTTCTCTGAGATGGTGACACGTGTGCTCTTATCAAAACTATTTTCATACTCTTCGTAGGTTTCATTAACTTTTGGCACACTCTGTGGTCACTACTGTGGTCAGCATGCAAGAGTGTTGTCTCACAGCATGTCCCACTAAAAAGGGCACAACTATACAGCTGGCCTGTTAGTGCCTATCTACTAAAATTACTTTTGTATGGCATCCATATTAAAAATCTGCATTTTTCAGGCAACAAGTGGGTCATTTAGAGTCTTTTTTTTCTACCATCTTCATCTTTTGAAAATATACACAAGAGCAGTAACTCTTTCTGCACCACAGCCATCATCATCGTTTGCGTTATTATCATCATCATCATACACATCTACAGCGTCAATATGGCCGCTACCGTAAACTTTTTGAGGCTGTGCTGCGGTCTGTAACATCCCCGGCTTTTTAAAGTTTCCTGCGCCCCTAAGTTACTGCACCGTCTTCATAACATTCATCGAGTAGTAATCAATATGTCGCAAACGAAAGGACTCAGTCAGAGCAAGGAAGCGCTCTTGAAATCCTACACCAAACAACTCAAGGATGACATGAAATCCATGGTCGACAATTTCACGGAGATCATAAAATCCACGCGCGTTCCGCTCGAAGATGAGGGCCAGGTACTGAGACCGCTGCAGGGAATACAGGACCACTACGAAATGACCGTACGAGCAGCAAACATAGTGAGTACGCTTCCGATCATCTGCATTACTGCATATATCGCTAATCAGAGATGCCCTGCATATTGTTGGCGTCTTCATTGTACGGTTCACAGTTATCTAGGGGGACTAGCCGAGAATCGAGTGAGTTAAAATAATTAACGAGACCCGCCGTGGTGCCCTAGTAATTATGGTGCCCAATTGTTGACTCGAGTGTCGCGGGAGGGAATCCGTGCCGCATTTTGATTGAGGCGGTATGCCAGAGGTCCGTGCGCTTACATTTAGGTGCACGTCAGAGTACTCAAGGTGGTCGAGATTTCCGGAATCCTTCACTACGGCGTCTCTCATTATCATATCAGAGGCTTCGGGTCATTGAAACCCCAACGATTATAGGAATAATTAGCTAAATGTAAGCTGCATCGATTATTATGGAAGCTTGACAGCGTAAGTGTTTCGCATGAAGGTCAAAGTGTTTCAAAGAAACACTTTTGCCGAAGTTGCGTAGACATACCTATTACCTCTTTCTGTCCGAAACGAGGTGGCTCCCAAGGACGGAATATTCGACAGTGGTTCAGACCAATTCGAGTCAATAGTTCAGTGGGGTTACGCGACAGGGAAATATCGCGAATTGTTGCGAACTTCCAGTTTTCAGCCCGCGCAAAAATGGCTGTGTTAAGGGAATAGGAAGCGTCTGTGTGTGTGGTACTGATGTGCATCTGTAAACCCATTTTCTTTTCTTTCCTTAGGTCCGAGCCGGCGAGTCGTTGATGAAGTTGATATCGGACATAAAGCAGTACCTCATCCTGAACGACTTTCCCTTTGTGAACGACTCCATTGCCCAGAACAGCCAGCGCTACTGTGCTTTTCAAATGGACTGTGATCAGCGTTTGATGGCACTGCGGGACGACATGGCTGCTGAACTGTACGAGCTTGAGGAAGAGTATTATTCGTCCTGCTATAAGTAATAAACTAGTTTCATCATGCAGTCACAGCGGAGGTCATGCCTGATCCAGGCCTGTTGTTCCCCATTTCTCGCTTCACATCTGTGCCCGCACAACACTGCGTAACTATGCGTGACAATTTGTGATAAAGTGTTCTGGTGGGAAATCGAAGCACTGACCTTTGAACATTCTTGAGGGATTTGTGTAATACCAGAACACTGTGAGCTTTTATTGTACTCTAATGGAAATTAAGTGATTCAAGTTGGGAAAGAGTACATAGATGGCCCTAGTAATTTTGGGAAACAGTGCAGTCCAGTCTGTATTCAAGTATACCAGGGATTTTTTATGAGGGTGATTGCCTTTTGTATTATGCCTTATTTGAGCACCACAAAAAAAACCAAAAAA